CCAGACAGAGCAATTAGGCAAGAAAAAAATAAATAAAAGACATTGGAAAGGGAAAGTAAAATTGTTTGCAGATGATATGATCTTATATGTAGAAAATCTTCAAGTCTCCACACACACACACAAAAAGCTGTTTGAGCTAATAATTCAGCAAAGTGGCACGATACAAAGCCAACACACACAAGCAGCTGCATTTCTACACACAACGAACTATCTGAAAAGGAAGTTACAAAGACAATTCCATTTAAATAGCATCAGAAAGAATAAAATACTCAGCAATTAAACAAGATGGTGAAAAACTTACACAATGAGAACTACAAAACACTCCTGAAAGAAATGAAAGACAACAGAAATAAATAGAAACATATTTCATGTTCAAGGATTGGAAGACTTAATATTGTTAAAGTGTCAATACCACCCAAAAGAGTCTACAGATTCAATGCAATACCTATAAAAATCCCAATGATGTTTTTTGCAGAAGTAGAAAAAGCCATTCTAAAATTCTTGTAGAAACTCAAGTGACCCTGAATAGACAAGACAGTTTTGAAAAAGAATAAAAATGGATGGCTCACGCTCTGATTTCAAAACTCACTACAAAGCTACTATAACTAAACCAGTGTGGTGTCAATATAAAGACATATACATATAGACCAACAGAATAGAAAAGAAAAAGAAAGCCCAGAAATAAACCCTCACCTATACAGTCAAACGATTTTTCACAAAAGTGCCAAAACCAGTCAGTGCGAAAAGGACAGTCTTTTCAACAAATGGTGCTGGAGAAACTGGATAACTATATGCAAAAACTGGAGTTGGGTGCTTACCTAACACCATATACAAAAATTAATTCAAAAATGGATCAAGGACCTAAACCTAAGACCTAAAACAATAAAATTCTTAGGAAAAAAACTGGACAAAAACTTCAAGACGTTGGATTTGGCAATGATTTCTTGGCTGTGACACCAAAGGCACAGGTAACAAAAGAAAAATAGACAAATTATACTTCATGAAAATTTTTAAAATTTTGTGCCTCAAAAGACACTATCCACAGAGTTAAAAGGCAACCCACAGAGTGGAAGAAAATATCTAGAAACCATACAGCTAAGAGCTTAACATACAGACTATTTGGAGAACTTCTAAAACTCAACAACAATTCGATTAAAAAATGGACAAAGGACTCGGATATTTCTTCAAAGAAGTCAACAAATAGCCAATAAGCACAGGAAAAGATGTTCAACATCACTAATCATTAAGGAAATGCCTACAATCAAAACCACAATGAGATATCACCGTACACCTATCAGGGTGGCCACTATCAAAAAACCAACAACAAGTGTTGGTGAAGAAGTAGATAAACTGGAAACCCTATGCTTTGTTGGTGGGAATGTAAAATGGCACAGCCACTGTGGAAAATGGAAAATGATACGGTGGTTGCTCAAAAAATTAAAAATAGAATTACTATATGATCCAGCAATTGTACTTATGGGTATATACCCCAGAGTATTAAAGGCTGGGGCTCTAAAAGATATTTGTACACCCATGTTCACAGCAGCATTATTTACAATGGTTAATACATGAAGCACTGAGTGTCCATCAACCAGTGAACAGATAAGATAAGCAGAATGTCATATATATATATATACACAATGGAATTATTATTCAGCCTTCAAAAGGAATTTAAATACTCCAACATACTAGAACATGGATGAACCGTGAGAAATTATGCTAAGTGAAACAAGCCAGTCACAAAAAGACAAATACTGTATGATTCCACTTATATGAGGTACCTGAAATAGTCAGATTCATAAAGACAGAAACTGCAATGGTGGTTGCCAGGGGCGGGGACGGGGGGAGTGAAGAATGGGGAGTTACTGTTTAAAAAGTATACAGTTTCAGTTTTACAAGATGAAAAGAATTATGAGGATGGATGGTGGTGATGGCTGCACAACAATGTGAACGTATTTAGTACCACTGAACTTGCAGTTAAAAATGGTTACGGTGATCTGAAAATATATGTGTGTATATACATGTATATGTATAACTGAATCGCTTTGCTATACACCTGAAACTAACATTGTAAATCAACTACACTTCAATAAAAAATTTTAAAAATGATTAAGGGGGACAAATAACAAATGCTTGCAAAGATGTGGAGAAACAGTTACCTTCGTACATGGTTGATGGGAATGTAAACTGGTGCAGCCTTAGTGAAAAAAGAGTATGAGACTTCTCAAAAAACTAAAAATAGAACTACCATATGGCCCAGCAATTCCACTCCTGGGTATATATCCAAAAAAAAACCCAAGGACACTAATTTTAAATGTTCCTAGCAGCATTATTTACAATTGCCAAGATATGAAAGCAACCTAAGTGTCCATGAACAGAAAAATGGATAAAAAAGATGTGTGTATATATATGTATATACACACACATATACAATGGAATACTACTCAGCTGTAAAAAATAAAATATTGCCATTTGCAGCAACATGGATGGACTTGGAGGTATTATGCCAAGTGAAATAAGTCAGACAGAAAGACAAATACTGTATGATATCACTTATACATGGAATCTACAAAATACAACAAACTAGTGAGTAAAAGAAAACAGAAGCAGACTCAGATATGGAGAACATACTAGTGGTTACCAGTGGGGAGAGGAAAGGAGGGAGGGATAGGGGATTAAGAAGTACAAATTATTATGTATAAAATAAGCTACAAGGATATACTGTACAACATAAGGAGTACAGCCAATATTTTATAATAAATATAAAAGAAGTATAACCTTTAAAAAATGGTTAAGGTGGTAAATTTCATCTTACATGTATTTCACCACAATAAAAACAAACAAAAATACTAAAAAGCTCCCTGTTCTTACTGAGATTCAGCCATTTTTCTTGCATAAACACTTCCTGAATCTCTACAAGTCTTTGGTTAATTTCCAGAGTTTGGAAAAGTTCATTCTGACTATATTGGTCAGTTTTCTCATTGCTTTTATGGAGGAGAGAATTTTTGGAGCTTCTTGCTTTGCTAATTTTGCCCACACCCATGGCTTTGCAGGGTGAATATCTCCACAGCCTCTTGTTTCCACTGCCCGACAGGAAAAGCACAACTACAATAACCCCAGGCTATTTAGGGAAATTCCTACTGGCCTGGGAAAAGGCCCCAGCTCCGCCTGAAAAGCTCACCTTTGTCCAAGATGAATAATCAACGAGAAATCTATGCAAAGATACAAGAAAAAAGGAGGAAAGAAGACAAACATGGACACTGAAAAAACACTTATTAGAAAATTGTTGCCACAGAGCAGGTGAAAAATTTGATCAGATATTTTATCTTCAATTAAAAAAAAAACTCTTCCCTGAAGCCAGAGCAGAAGAAGGAGACTCAAAATATATATGAGAATTGCATATAGAGGGAGCAAAATGTGAGCTGGCAAAGCCCAGGAAACAAGTGAAAGAAAGAAAATTAAAGCAGCACAAAAGAGATGATGAAATTCAAAGTATCACAGGGAAAACAGAGGCTGCCGAAACACAGAAGGGGGGACGGAAGACCAGACTATGAAGAGTGAGCTACATGAAATGGAAATACTTAGGCTTAAAAGGAAATGACATACATGGCAGATGGTCAAGAGAGCCAATACATATGTGCTTGGCGTCCCTAAAGAAGCAAATTCATAGACAGACTTGGAACCAGAATCCTGGCACCACTTCCGGAAATGACAGAACACATCCCAGTAAAAGGGGAGATAAATGGGCAACAATTCTAAATGCCAGTAAAGCTACTGGACTGCTATGATAAGAATCCTTTGAACCCAGGGGCAAACAGATCACATCATCTATCAGAGGAACGCGCCCAGGCTCACGCGCCCCTACTCCTGAATTCAGCGTTGGAGGACAGCAGAGCCAGCAAGGCCTCCAAATCTTGGAAGAAGCTAATGTAACCCAAGACATTTATTTCTACTCAGCCCAAACAGTTTTTGAACATGCCAAACTCAAGGAATAGTGTTCTCAGAAGCCCTTCCTGAGGAAAAGGCTCAAAGGTGAAATTCAGCCACCCAACAGGGCCCGTCAGATCAGAAGGTCTGGTGCAGCAAGTCTCCTAGGATGCCCCAGCCAAGGACTCCCGCATCTGTGCTCACTGGTCCATTGGATACCTCAGGCGGATCATTTTAACACCTCCCTGTCTATAAATAAAATTGTTTTCAATAATAATCATGCTTCAATAAGTAATAATCATTTTATTGATTGATTCTTCAGTTTTAAAACAACTATTAAAGAATAGCTTCAAAATTTTAAAATATTCAATCGAGCAAAGTTTTTCATGTATGAAATTCTGCATTAACAAAAAATATACATTTATACACACATATACACACACACACCTAGCAGTTTACACTCAATTTTGCCATTTTTAATTTTATTTTTTAAAAATATTTTTTCCGTTTCTATTTTTTGCAGGGGAGGTAATTAGGGTTTTTTTTTTCTTTTGTTGCTTGTTTTTTTAATGGCAGTACTGGGGATTGAGCCCAGGACAGGACCTCGTGCATGCTAAGCACGCACTCTGCCACAGAGCTATACACTCCCCTACCCACTGACATTGATTAGGACTGTCACTGCATGGTTTTACAATAAAAAGCAGATGAACTAATCAGTTTCATCATTATTTTTAAATTCTCTACATCTGTCTCACCAATTTTACATTTTGCAACCTTGATGTGATTTAAGAAAGAAGTCGAAGGTAGAAGAGAAAAAGTGGGCAGTCCATTAAACAGAGAAAACCGTCCATATTATGTATGCAAGCTACACCACCTAAACAGAAGGTAAAATCACAACAAATCTCCCCAGACCATGCCCTCCCTTACTGCCAGCGGCTGGGACTGACAGGCCCACTGCCCACCCTAGTCCAGCACTCGAATCTCCCTAGTCGTCCTCTAGCCTCCTGCCCTTGCGACTTGACCCTGCAAGCGCACAGTCAGGAGGCAGAAAGGTGGGGTGGGCAAGTACTCACACTTGGAGGGACAGCCCTCTGGGTCAGGAACAGACAGACACAGACGCACCAGCGGTGGAGAAAGGTGTCCTGTCCCACTGGCTGCCCCAGAGACCCATGCGGCCCAGAAGACACTGGAACTGAACACAGCGGTGAACGAGGGCATGAGGGACATGGCCCAGCAGAGAAATGACACGAGGCAGCCAGAGAAGGCAGAACGAGACCTTAATTGGAGGCAGAAGAGACCCCACCTGTTGGAAGACGCCGGCAGTTTGACTGCCTACAAGCTGAGGGACATCAGTGCTTCAAAAACTGGCCAACAAACAACACAGAAGAGCTACCTGGCCTCACAGCCAAGGAGAGGGCAAATGTTTTGGATGGAGAACCCCCGGTTTTCACAGGGCACCTGGGAGCCTATAATTATTACGCTTTACTAGGAATTGGTGCATTTGCCGCTATTTTCCTGGGGAACTTTCTTTTCCTTCGAGAGTAAAAGATACCAAGTGACTGAAAAACAGGTTCTGCAGAAATCTTTTTTTTAAACAGTAAAATAAGTTTTTTCAAAATATCAATTTATGACCAAAGCAGCTAACATCACTTTTGAAGAAACCAATGTACAAAAGGAGAACTCACCTGAAGAGGTGCCCAGGCTGTACAACGCGCTCTCTGAAGGGCTTGAGGATCCGGCTCAAATGCAGGGAGAAAAATCTGCCTTTTTTGAGGGGGAGCTGAAAGAGAAGAGTGTAAAGGAGCTTGTTACAAGGAATCTGGTGAAACTTTAGGAAAGAAAAGACTTTAAAGAAACAAAACCAACTGAAGAGAAGATGAAGTCTAAATGCCATCAAATTTTAGAGAAGAAAAATACCGAACCTAAGAAGAGCACGGAGCAATTACTACAGGAAGAGTCAGAGGAGCGAGCAGCTCTCCACGCCTTCCGCGGACGCCAGGAGACTTCGTGCAGGAGCTCCCCCAACTGGCCACAAAGTGTAACCACAGGGGAGCCTTAAAACCACGGTCTCTGGGCCCCCGCTTCCGGAGAGCCTCGCTTAATAGGTCTCAGGTGTTGGGCCTAATGGTTGGGATTTACAAGCTCCCCAGGTGATTCTACTGGGCAGCCAGGATTGACAACCAGAAGCTCTGGCTTCCAAAAGTAAAAGAAAGAAATTCAAGTTTTGGATAATTGCATTATAAAACTGAAAATGACAAGATGACAATACTTGAACGACGGAAAAGGCCATGAACAAAATTCTGGTTAAAAAAAAATAACTGTACTTGAGCTGGGAAAACGCAATTGTTCGTCAACAGGCAAATGGATAACCAAACTGGTCTATCCACACACTAGCAGTAAAAAAGGAACCATCTAATTCAGGCACCAAGGATACATCTCAAAAACGTTATGCTCTGTTGAGTGGGGGAAAAAAATCAGACACAAAAGAGCACATTCCATATGATTCTGATTATGTGAAGTCCAAGAACAGGCAAAGTTAATCTGGTGAGCGAAATCAGAACAGTAATTGATTGCCTCTGGGAAGGAGAGGTGGGAATCGACTGGGAAAAGCCAGAAGATGGAACGTTCTCTGCCTTGTTTTGGATAGTGGCTACCCAGGTGCATACAATTGTCAAAATCCATCACACTGGACATTTAGCAGCAGAGTATTTTTGCGTGTAAATTATACTTATTTAAAACAAAAAAGTACTGTACTTGAAAAAGAGACCGTTTCTAATACAAACTGAGTGATGCGGTACAAGCAGGACAAGAGTAGCATTCAGCCACAGTGAGGGAGGAGGAGAAAGGCAGACCCGACGGCAGAGCAGAGACCCTTAACTACCGCGACGGCAGAGAAGGGAGCTCAGCAGAAGAAGCTGGCTTGAGAAAGAATGAGCAGGAGGAGGGCAGAAGCTCTTAGCTGCAGAGAAAGCAAAAAACTTCTAAGCAGAGAACTCAAGAACATGAAGGCAAATTACAGGAAGGAGAGAGAGGGAAAGAGAGAGAATCTAATAAAACCTAGATGGGGGGAGGGTATAGCTCAGTGGTAGAGAGCACGCTTAGGATAGAAAAGGTTATAGGTTCAACCCCCAGTACCTCCGTCAATGTAAATAAACAAACCTAATTACCCCCCCAAATAGATAAATAAATGAAAATAATTTTTAAAAAATAAGACTGCTCTTCAGGATCAGAAAGGTTATAATAATCATGAGCTGCTGTTGCTGCCAGGAGAGCTCTTTCTGGAGAGAAGAAGCAAGCTGCCAGCCTGGGGCAGAAATATATTTTTTTAATTGAAGTACAGTCAATTACAATGTGTCGATTTCTGGTGTACAGCACAATGTTCCAGTCATGCATATACATACATATATTTGTTTTCATATTCTTTTTCATTAAAGGTTATTATAAGATATTGAATACAGTTCCCTGGGCTATACAGAAGAAATTTGTCTTTTTTTAAAATCTATTTTTATATATAGTGCCTAACATTTGCAAATTTCAAACTCCCAAATTTATCTCTTCCCACCCCTGCCCCCTGTAATCGTAAGTTTATTTTCTACGTCTGTGAGTCTGTTTCTGTCTTGTAAGTAAGTTCGGGGTTTTTTGTTTGTTTGTTTTTTAGGTTCCACATATAAGTGATACGGTATTTTTCTTTCTCTATCTGGCTTACTTCACTTAGAATAACAGTCTCCAGGTCCATCCTTGTTAACTGCAAATGGCATTGTTTTATTCTTTTTTATGGCTGAATAGTATTCTGTTGTGTAAATATACCACAACTTCTTTATCCAGTCATCTGTTGATGGACATTTAGGTTGTTTCCACGTCTTAGCTATTGTAAATAGTACTGCTATGAACATTGAGCTGCATGTATCTTTTTGAATTAAGGTCCCCTTTGGATATATTCCTCTGGATATATACGGGATTGCTGAATCATACTGCAAGTCTATTTTCAGTCTTTTGAGGAATCTCCATACTGTTTTCCATAACAGCTGCACCAAATTACATTTCCCACCAACAGTGTAGAAGGGTTCCCTTTTCTCCATCCCCTCTCAAGCATTTATTGTTTGTGGACTTTTGAATGATGGCTATTCTGACTGGTGTGAGATGATACCTCATGGTAGTTTTGATTTGCATTTCTCTGATAATTAGCAATGCTGAGCATTTTTTCATGTGCCTGTTGGCCATTCATTTGTCTTCACTGGAAAATTCCTTGTTTAGGTCTTCTGCCCATTTTTGGATTGGGTTTTTTTTTATTATTAAGTTGTATGAGCTGCTTATATATTATAGAAATTAAGCCCTTGTCAGTCTCATCTTTTGCAAATATTTCCTTCCATTCCATGGGTTGTCTTTTTGTTTTGCTTATGGTTTCCTTTGCTGTGCAAAAGCTTACAAGTTTTATTAGGTCCCATTTGTTAATTTTTGCTTTTACTTCTATTGCCTGGGTAGACTGCCCTAGGAGAACATTGCTGAGATTTATGTCAGATAATGTTTTGCCTCTGTTTTCTTCTAGGAGGTTTATTGTATCTTCTCCTATATTTAAGTCTTTATGACATTGTGAGTTTATTTTTGTGTATGGTCTGAGAGAGTGTTCTAACTTCATTGATTTACACACTGCTATCTAGTTTTCTCAACACCACTTGCTCAAGGGACTGTCTTTTCTCCATTGTATATTCTTGCCTCCTTTGTCAAAGATTAATTGACCGTAGGTCTGTAGGTTTATTTCTGGGCTCTCTATTCTGTTCCATTGATCCATATGTCTGTTTTTAATGCCAATTTACTATAGCTCTGTAGTAATGTCTGAAGTCAGATTCGTTCTTTTTCTTCAATATTCCTTTGGCAATTCTGGACATTTTGTGATTCCATATAAATTTTAGGATTATTTGAAAAATGTCATGGGTAATTTCATAGGGATTGCATTAAATCTGTAGATTACTGGGATAGAAATTAACACAAGGAAACCCCAAATAGTGATGCTTCAAATACCAGTGACTGTAAAATCAGTTCTGGAGAAATAAGATCATAAAATCCTCCTATAGAAAAGTCCTCTAAGCCAGATATTGGCAAACTTTTTCCATAATGCACCAGATGGTAAATATTTTAGGCCATGCAGGCCATGGGGTCTCTGTCGCAAATACTCAACACTGCCATCATAGCATGAAAGCATCCATAGATGATACATAAATGAATGAGTAATATAGTAAATCACTATATTCCAGTGAAACTTTGTCTATGAAAACGGATGGCAGATCTTCTCAAGACAGGCCAAGATGGCTGACCCCATTCCAGTTGAAAGAGAGTAGGAAAGGACAAGGGGCCAGCACAGCTCGGAGTTGCACACGTCACTTTCATTCACACTCAGAACTTAACCCTTTGCCCATATATAAAGCTGCAAGGAAGGCTGGAAGTGTGAGCTACACCATGAACAGCCACATGTCTATCAAGAATCAGGCATCTGCCACCCAAAACCTAGTAGAGCTAATAAATGAGTTCAGCAAAGTTGCAGGATACAAGATCAATGTACAAAAATCAGCCGTATTTCTCTACACTGAGCAATGAACAATCCAAAAATGAAAATGATATTAAGAAAAGAATTCTATTCACAAAAGCATTAAAAGGGATAAAATACTTAAGAATAAATTTAACAAAAGAAGTGCAAGATTTGTATGCTGAAAACTGCAAAACATCACTGAAAGAAACAGAAGAAGATCTACATAAATGGAAGGACATCCCGTGTTCCTGGGTTGGAAGGCTCAATATTCTTAATACGTCAATACTCCTCAAATTGATCTACAATTCAGTGCAATTCCTATCAGATTTCTTGTTTTCAGTCAGACAGTACAAGGGACCACACTCACCTTTAAGGAAATAACCCAACTTGTTCCAAACCACTGGACCCCCAGGAAATGTTGATGAGATGGTAAGTCCCTATATTTATATAGGATTTGTCACCCACCCTCTGGCTTGCTTGGGTCTTACTAAGATATCTAAAGTTCTTGCTATGATCTGCCTCTCAGGTCCAATCAGAATAACATCATCAAAGCCATGATGTTCTGTGAGATAGTGGAATGATTAAAACCTCTGCAGACTAGATTACAAAGAGCAAGAAGGTTAACGTAGCCCTGAGGCAAGACCATAAAGGCATACTGTTGGGCATGGTAGGTGATATTAAACTGCTTGGGGTAATACTTGCAAGTTGTTACAGAGAAATTACCATTTGCCAGATCAATAGGGCTGTCCCAGGGAGACAGGAGACTATGCTAATTTGCTCCAATCAAGATAGCTCATCTGGGACAGCAGCTGCTATTGGACTCACCATCTGATTATGTTTACAGTGAATTACAGAAATTCTCTGAGAGCCATCTGCCTTGCACAAACCAAACAGATAAGATAAATGGGGGTGTAACAGGCAGCATCATCCCTGCAATTTCCCCAAGCCTGCAACACTGCTTTTACTTTACTATCTGGTTAGGGAAGGTAAGTTCTAGGATCCTTCCTTGTGGTCCTTCCTGCCCTAATAGCCTTTATTCAGTGGTTCTTATTCAGCTACTGTGAGGATTCTACCACCGGCCAAGTATTTATTCAAGAACTAGGGAAATAAGAACAGGATGGGTCTATGGTTCTGCTTGGCTCACTGTGGTTTAGACTTCAGCCACAATTCCATTTATCATCTGATCACCATAAGCCCTCGGTGGCCTTTTTTGGTTTCCAGGAATTAATGACAATTCAAAGCCAGTATCTAGTGATCTCCAAAGAGTCTGCGAATGTTCCTTTCCCCAAGACACAGTTACCCTAGTAAATGGCTGCAGGGTCCTTGGAGGAAAGCTTTGGGGAAGATTTCTACTGTTTGCTGATGGGATTTTGCAAGATCTTGTCTTAAGGGGACACTGGCCTCAACTCAATCAAGGCGCTCTGAGTCTATGAACTGCCTTAAG